TCCCAGTCGCCTTCAGGAGGAGCAAGGAGTCATCAAGAGTTGCTGATGTTTTTCCATCCCCTGGTCCCTGGGGTAGCGTATCTCCCTTAGTCATGATCTAACAACACATACTCCCCACGCTAGGAGGAGAAAAACCAGGACTCAGCACTGTGCACGCCGCAAAGATGCACCCAAATCGTGTGCCTAGAAGAAAAAAAAAAACGTGCTGAGAAAGAAATCGGTCGCAAACCATGGGCAGCGGCTCTCAGGTCGGGGTGGAGCACTGGGCGACTCTTGCTTATTAATTTTGTTTCTTCTGAAGTGTTCGCTGTCGTTTTTATTCTTCACACTGAGAATGTGTTGTGATTTTCTCAGAAGGTAGAAAAAAACTTTTCTCAAAATAGGGAGCGCAGCCAGCCAGGCGTGCGGGCACATGTCAGTAATGCTAGCATTTGAGAGACAAAAGGATCATAAATTTGAGGTCAGCCTGATCTACCTAACGAGTTCCAGGCCAGCCAAGGCTACGTTAGGGAGACCTTGTCTCAGACAAAAATAAAGAGGGGGATGGGTCTGATCCTAGCTGTCAAGATGATCTTTCCCAGCCCATCCTCTAGGAAGCCCCACCCCCATCCTTTCTCCAGGGAGAGGCTGCGATTTCGTCCTCTGTCCTGGGAGAGTTTGGACAAATCTCACTTTTCACTCTGCAGGACAGTTAAGGCTGTCAGAGAGGGTTTAATGTAGCATAGGCTAGCCTCACACTGTGTGGCTGAGGATGCCTTTGGCTTTCTGGTCCTCCTGCCCGAGTGCTGGAATTGCAGGTGTGCACCACCAAGTCCGGTTTATGAAACTCTGGGAATGGAACCCAGGACTTGCGCATGCTAGGCAAGCATCCAGCATCGTCCTCCATGTCTACATCTGTGCCCCCTGTCACACGGGGCTACTCAGCATTCAACACCAGGCGGATGGAAACCGAGAAGTAGCAAAAGTGAAATACCAGATTACTCCCCCTTGTAACCCCAATACTGAGGAAGCTGAGGCAGGAGGACTGCCACAAGTCAAGACAACACTGTCTCAGAACAAAAGAATGTAAGAAAAAAAAAAACCCATGGAATGGTTTGCTAATTACACGCTGACACGGTTTAAATAGTTAAAGTTAACTTTGCCTGCTTCATTTTATTTTTCTTGGAGGTGGTGTTAGAACCCAGGGCTGGGGCTGAGACAGGTTAGCACTTAAGAGCACTGGCTGCTCTTCCAGAGGACCTGGGTTCAATTCCTAGCACCCACATGACAGCTCACAACTGTCTGTAACTCCAGTTCCAGGGAATCTGGCACCCTCATGCAGACAGACATTGCAGACAAAAGGCCAGTGCACATAAAATAAATTTAAATTAAAAAAATCAATAATTCCTTATTTTTTTTTAAAAAGAACTGGGATATCACACATACTAAACACACAAAGCATTCCTCTAATAAGATGCATGCACCCCAGTCCTCCATTTAATTTTTCTTTTCTTTTTGAGGGGAGGTTTTTGAAACAGGGTTTCTATGTGTAACAGCCCTGAAACTCACTCTGTAGACCAGGCTAGCCTCGAACTCACAAGTATATGCCTGCCTCTTCCTTTCTAGTGCTGGGATTAAAGGCATGCGTCATCACCGCCTGGCCCTTCATTTAATTTTTTAATGTGGCCACAAGAAATTTAAATTACATTTGAGCTGGTATCAGGTTTTTTTCTGGGCAGTGTTGACCTGTGAGCCCCATAAGAGGAGAGTTAGATACACTTGGGCTCAGGCTCAGAGAAGTGAAAGTCTTGTCTGTGGTCACACAGCAAACCTCAGATCCTCCAGCTGGGCAGTGGCTGGAGTGTGTTCTGATCCACACATGGCCAAGGGTCTCCATCAGTCTAGTAACTGGGCAGGTTAGGTAGTGGGAGGATGGCTAGGAGACACCCAACAGGTCCCATCCTCACATTCGTTTGACCTGGCTTTCAGCTGTCATATTTTCTCCTCGGACAGGCTTCTATGACACCCCCACACACCCACCCACCGCGGTCTGTCACTCCGCTTTATTGTCTTCCTGGCCTGGACCATTGTCCATCGTTTTGTCCCTATTTGGGGCTCCCTGCAGGGTCTTGTCTAACAGGTCCTCAGCTGCATTCCTGCCTCCCCCGTGCCTGGCATGCAGGCAATGCCCAACTCCTGCTTGTCAATCAAATGAGACAGCGACACAAACAAGCTAGGGCATCAAAGTCCCTCTGCAGCTGCAGCAACACACAGGGGGCTGTGCGGAGAGTACCTGGGCAAGTACCTTTCCCTGTCTGGATCCCGATTTCCCCTTCTAAAAGCTGGTGCTGGGGGCGGGAGGCTCGGCGGGTTGAATTATCATGAGCTGATGGGTGTGAACACTGCTTTGTAAACTGTTAAAGCGTGATTGCAAATGCGAGGAGCTGTTGTCATTAGACAAATGAAGCTCCCAGCCTGCTCTCCCTTTGCAGTAGGGACCCAGGTCTGGATCCAAACTGTTCCAGCTTCTGCACCTGGAGAGGGGAAGCTTCCCAGCACCCTGCCCCCCCCCATGGGGAGCATCTAACCTGCTGGGGTTAGAGAAGGGATAGGCAAATTGAAGACAATCAAACTATCCTGAGGCCCTAGCCGGAGAACCACTGATCACCTTTCAGGAAACATCCTAAGCAAATGGGTGTTTCAAGGGGAGGCCAAAGTTAGTGGAGGCTCTTAGTAGGGTGTCTCCGAGGTGGAACCCTGGTCACAGAGTAAGAGAAAGCTGGGTACAGTTTGACTGGGACAAAGGCAGGCTGAGGCAGCTGCCAAGAGAGCATAGAGGAAGGCCCTGGCTGGGTGACAAAACTCGGCTGTTCTATAGGATCCCAAATGGGGAATAATAATAATAAAAAAAAGCGTAGGGAGAACGGATGGAAAAGTTGAGGGACTTTATTGTTGTTATGATTTTTGTGTTAAACCAGGTAAAGGTCCAGACTGTTACCTATTAATGATAAGGTTTTCGGTGGCTGTGGGAAGCTCATTTATTGAATAAATATGTTCTATGGACCCATGGGAGGCCCAGGGGATGGGCACTGGTGTCAGATGGACAGACCTTGAATCCTAGCTCCAACGTGCTACATGACCTTGAACAGATGACTTGCCAGGTCCTCAGTCCCATCACCTGAGATGGTCAGTACCTGCCACCAGGGTTGAGACAATGGAGGAGTCAAACATCTGTACACCTAAACAACCCTGAGCCTCAGTCCTGCTACCAGGGTCCTCCAAGAAAGCTAGTGTCTGGTATTTGAAGTTTGCATCAAAGGAGGACACAATTGTTAGGGGTGTGTTGATGATGGCAAGGGCCCCAGGGGATAGAAAGCAAGCCGGGCTGAATCCACCCAGCGTGTAAGAAGCGTCCCGTAATTTTTTCTGGAAATGGGGATGGGCCACCTGGGATGGAGAGGAATAGGTCCAGAGTCCACCAAGTCCTAAGTCCCTTGGAACGTCTGGCAAGCAAAAGCAGAATAATAGCCAGGGGCACCCAATTCATCTCTACTCCAGGCAAGAGTCTGCAGGCAACGCGGGGTGGAGGGTGTTGGCAGAGGGGAGTATCTTCCGTTCTCTTCTGCCCTCCTTGGCTCACTTCTCTTCTACTTCCTTTGCAGCCTTCAGATCCCACCTCTGCCTGGTGGCCTCCCAGGGTAACGTTCATTTCCAATGGACTCTCAGAGCTTCAAAAGGTGACCCACATCTCCAAACCTTGGCTGGTTCTCAGGACTGTCTGCCTGATGGGCCTTGAAGGGAAGACATCTCTGGGACATTTTGCTAGTTTGTGGGACAAAGGGACTAGAGAGGTCTGCACTGGATTTTAACAGACTGTCCCTCTAGGGGACTCTTCTACCCAATGCAAAGAGCATGGCCAGTGCTGTGGCTAAGCGTGTTTTCAGGAGAGCAGATCCCAAAGGCCAGGGGCCCTGCCTGGGTGGTTCCCGCAGGGTCCCTACAGTCCGCCCACCACCGGCCTCAGCAAGCCCGCTAATGATGACGGTGATGAAGGCTGTCAGAGCAGGCTGGGCCCACAGAAATGGAACAAGGGGTTGTGTCCTCCCTGAAGGGACAGCTATGCACAAAACCCGAGCAGCCCAGACAGGTCCATTCCACTGAGGGGTGGAGTAGGGGCTGTCGCTAGGCATCCCCCTGGGCCTCCTCCACACCCCTGCGCGCAAACTGCACCGGGAACCAGATCAACAGAGGAGAAATACAATGTGCGGCTGGAAAGGTCCGCGGGGAGGGGCCGGTGGGCTCGCGCAAAACAACAAGGCAAGGAGGGAAGGCCTGGGGTCTGCCTGCCAGGACCCGCCACCCCTGCCAGAGAGAACCCCGGGCCCGCGGGCGAGCGCCAAGGCCCACTCTCCCAGGCAGAGGCCCCAGCCCAGCCCCAGAGCCTGGGAAAGCCGCCTGTTTTGTTCCCAGCTTCCCCCTCTCTTTTCCCCCCTCATTCATTGCAGTTCAGTCCCTTTCGAAGCCGCAGGGACGCGGGTGGCAAGGCTCAGGCAAGGGGGTGGCACTCCCGGCCCTGACAGGTAGAGCTAGTCCCGGGCTTTGGGTAGCCCCTTCCTCGCTCCCTCCCCCCCCCCGCCCCGGGTCCCCTCTCTCTGCTCCTGTCAGCCGCGCCAGACGATCTCGGCTTTGCAGCATTCAATAAAAATTGAGAAACATTTGGGCTGAAATCGCTGCTTTATCTGGAGGAGCCACAGCTTCGGACGAGACCACTGCTGCGCGGGGGGGAATCTGGGGTCCCAGACGCCAGGGTGCGTGGGGTCACGGTGTTTCAGCGCGCTGATGCACCCTCCGAAGGAATATGAAAGACTAACAGGGTCGTGTCTCGGGCGTGGTGCAACCCGTGGGCACGTGGAGTACAGGCGCAAGGTTGGCAATCTAATCCCGGCTCCCCCCGCGCCCGCGGCTCAGGTGGGCCGTGCCCAGCGCTGGCGGAGCCCGGGTCCCCGTTCTGCCCGGGCTGGATGGCTCATTCTGCTGGCTGCGCGGCGGCGGCGGCGGCTCGTGTGTGTGTGTGCGCCGCGCCCCGCCGCTCCCCGCCGGCCCCCCGAGCCCGGGGCGCGCGCTCCAGCCCCGGGATCGCCGCGGCCCGAGGCTCCCGGCAGCGTAGCAATGGCCGTGCGCAGGCTGGGGGCTGCGCTGCTGCTGCTGCCGCTGCTAGCCGCCGTGGAAGGTGAGCGGGGATGGGGGCGGGGAGCGGCCACCTCGGCCCCGGGTCGACCCCTCACTCGGCCCCGCGGTCGCAAAGTTTGCCCGGGGGCCGGTGCCGGGCGCAGGTGGCCGCAGGGAGGTGTGGCCGGCGGCCACCGCTGGGGAGGACGCGGGGCCCCGCGGGCGCCCGGACGAGCGGCGTGCGCTGATTGACTGTGCCAGGAGGAGGCGAAGGGACCATCTTGCCGAGGCTTTGTAGCCAGCCCGGCGAGCGCCGCCCAGGGCCGGGGGCTCTGCCCACTGCGCGCCCGCCACCCGGGTCCCTGCATCCCCACAGAGCCCGGCGCTGGCTCTGCCTGGCTCGGCACCAGTCTCAGGGGCGCGGGCCCGGCGCGCAGTGGGCGCTGCAAAGTTTGGCAGGGAGCGTTCCAAGGGAGGCACGGCGGCCGCGCCAAGGATTGGGGATCCCGGGCCGCGCCCCCTTGGATGCAGTCTGGGTGACCCGAAGAGTCGGAGGACCCGCGGAGTGGAGAGAAGCGCTCGTGTCCCCCACTCCTTCGTCCGTGCCCGCACGGTCGCCCGCGGCGTACAATGGGGTCCCCTCCCCAGAAGGACTGAGCGGGGGATGGGGCAATGGGCATCTCTCTTGCGCGGGGTCCTCCGGGTACCTCCGCGGGCCACCGCCCCGAGGGCGACACAGCTCAGCGTGGAATCTGGAGCCCCGAGAACTCTCCAGCTGCCGTCAGAGCCCCGACCAGATGCTTTGCCATGTGTTGTTGGCCTTGGCCTGGGTCTCAGGGCCTCTCCCCGAGGCCTCGCGCTGTGGTACCACCCGACCCCCCGGGGGCGGGAGTGGCTGCCAGGTGGTCGCAGCTCGCTGGCTGTGGAGGGAAAGTTGTTGGCGGGGGTCTGGGTGTGTCCGCCAGGAATGGGTGGACTGGTAGGACCAGTCGTGAATCCTAATAATGGTTCTCACGTGTACTGCACTTTACAGTTTTCCAATCGCTTCACAGTTTATGAAGTACTTTGCTCTCAGTGGTTTACTGCGTGCTGCACGGTTGACAAGGTACTTGAAGCCTTCTTTGCAAAGTGCTTGCCGGCCCGACAGTCGTGTTGAATCCTTCCTTCAAGAGAAGTCTTCCGGGAAGCCAGATGGGTCGAATTTTTTTTTTTTTACTGGTTTTAACAAATAGGGAAACCCGCGGGTTCAGAAAAATCCCGTCTTACCCATAGCCATTGGGTGTTAAAAATAGGCCCTGAGTCTGAGGTCTTTGAAACAATTGACTGTGCTTTCTTGCCCCTAAAGAGGAGACTCCTTCTAGGAGTGTGCCACCGGGGGCTTGAGAGGTGCGGCATAGAGTGTCTTATTCTTGGGCCGCTTTGGGGTGAAGTGTGAAGAAGCCTTGAGGGGTCCAGGCACAGCCACTACAGACATGGTGGGGGACCCTGTGCTAGAACTTAGTTTCTCAGTAATGAACATTTTAGTGACCGCAGTATGGGGGGGTGCGGGGGGAGGGAAGAAAGGGGGGTCATTGGATGGCAGCCATCGTGTTTGGCACCAAGGCAGCTGTCCTCTGGCTCCTGCAGGATTTGGCGGCTGCCTGCGGTTTCCCAGAGTGGGGTGGCCAGGGCACTGAGGGTGCCACGGGCCTTGGGTGTGGAGGACAGCCCAGGAGCCCGGCTGCTGGCGGGGAGCACCCTGGGATTTGGTTGGTGTACCACTTATTACACTGGCTTTGGGGAAATGAGTCATGTGCTGGCCCGCTATACGTTGGGATGTTTACAGTATTATGGGGAGCTTGGCATAAATATTGCTATTTAGGTTGCAGTCAGTGGGGCTGGAGGGGAGGAAAATTGGCCTCTCTTGCGCGTTTGAGAAGGCCTGGGTGTGTTTTTAATTACCGTGGGGTAGATGGAAGGGCCACGTCTGTCCAGCTCTGGCAAGTGGGTGGTTAGAATCTGGGGGGCCGTGGCCTGACTGGGCCCTGGCCCTGGCCCTGGACACAGGGCTGGTTGGTGGCTGATGTCACAAGATGGGATGGCTGCCCGTTTGGGGGCAGGAGTAGGAGGACACTAGAGAATGTAATCCATCATGATAGGCTCGTATTGGACTGAGAAATGGTGTGAGGTGGGTTGCAGGGGTCCGCTTCTAATTCACTTGGGACCCTGGGCCAGCTCTCTTCTTTGTAGGGGCCTCAGTTTCCCTAGATAGGGACTTTGGCTATTCTCTCGGGATTCCATTATGTATACCCACCATCCCATAATCTTTTCTTCAAGTCACCTTTACTTCATCTGTCACTCAAGGGTGGGCACAGTGGCCATCTCACCTGTGTGATTATAAGAACCACACTGAATAGTGGATGGAGAAATAGTCCAACTGCTAGAATTGGGTATGGTCTTTGTGCTGGGAAGGTGACATGAATGGTCCTGCACATCCGGGGAACTCTTGGACTCTTCTGGATGCAGCCCCATCTGTGGGGCAGCGTGGAGGCCAGAGGCCGGGGAGGACAGCTCTTGTCTCTGGCATGAAGAGCCATGAGGCTCCCACCGCCTGCCTTCCTTTCTCCTCCAGCCGCTCTGTCTCCCAGCCCATTCCAGGGCCGGCTTGAGCTTTTCAGCCTAAGAATTCCCAGCTCCAGCCTGTGGAATGCTCGAGAGGAGAGGGGGTGCTCGAGAGGAGATGGGGTGCACGTGCATGCGTGCACGCATGTGTGTGTGCTGGGGAGCAGTCCCCCCCCCCCCGCCCTGCAAGAATGGTGAGCATAGTGAATCGCCCAAACCACAAGACCCCTCCAGGAAAAGCAAAGCGTTGAACATCTGGAGCCGGGGCGTCACAAGGCAGAGAAGCCCCGGGACACATCTGACAGAGGACGGTGGCCGGCTCACTGCTAGATGGAATGTAAAGGTTGAGGTCTCCCCCTCACAGCCCTTCGTTTGCTCTCCAAATATTTATGGTGCTTCCTTTTTGGCTGGGTGGTGCTGGACCCCGGGGCAGGCAGGGAGGCAGGGGACAGGCTGACAGAGAAAATAGTTGGCAAGAGCGAATGTGTGAAGTGTATCCCCGAGCACTGCCAGGAGGAAGTCGAGGGCCACCTGGGGGTGCAGTTTGGGCTGAAAAAGGGTTATTTCGTCTTTTATGGCTCGATGCTGCGTTTCATTTTCTCACTCCCCGCTCTCCCGGCAATGAACTTTCTTAGCCACCTGGCGTTTTTTACAGATTGATCTCTGCAGAGTTGAGGCGGTTGACTTTGGGAGGATGAGGATGAGGAACACATTGCCTGGCAAGCCAACAGCATATGGGAAGGCCTGGGGCCGGATGATCTGGCATTTCCTGGGGTGTGACCTAGGGGAGGGTGCCTGGAGGGCACCAGTGAGGTGACACAGCGGTGAGAGAACAGGCGGAAAGGCTGGGATGATGGCCTACTGATGGGAGGGAGGTGGGGAGCCATTGAAGGTTCTTGAGCGGTTTACTGAGGGACCTGGCCAGGTTTGCATTTGAAAAGATGGGATGACTTCAGTCATTAGGGATGTTGATTTAATCCCAAATAATCTAGATTGGGCTGGACTGTGAGTTTTAGGGATAAAGACAAGGACCTCCTGGACCTTTTGTAAGCCCATAGTTCTGGTACTGGAACTGCTCAAATGCCAGTTTCCAAGAGGCCTTCTCTGACAGTATCACTTAAAACAGATACCAGTTTTGCTACTTTGTATCCTATCTGCTTGTTTTGGCTTCCTAACACCAAGTTGGTTTCCTTGTTTCATGTTGTCTGGCACTCGGGACCATGAACCCCAGAGGAAGCGATTCAAGCTGCTTTGTTGACTGTGGCATCCAAAGGTGCAGAGCTCCTTGCTCTGATACCCGGGGCACTGGGTAACAAGTGTGCATAAGATGGAGTATTGAGTGAGTGAACACAGGATGAGCGTCTGAGAAGGAAAGGGCCTGGGTAACCAAGGAAACCTTCCTGGAGAGAGAGGGTCTGGGGATGGTCCAAACGGGAAGTGTTTCAGGGTGAGGGATAGACAGTTCAGCCAGAGGGCCACATGGATTCTTTCTGATGAGGGCTGGGAGCCCAGCTCTGTCTTCTGGGGCTTCATATGTCTGGAGGCCTGGTGAATGTGGGGTAAATTTACAGTTGTTTTCTATGGAAGTTTTTTTTTTTTTTCTGTTTCTCGAGGAGGTAGCTTTTGTAGAAAGCAAGGCTTCGCTTTAAAACCCAGCACTGATAACTCTAATCAGATGAACCTGCTCTGTCGCCC